TGAGTGGGCCATCAGAAAATAGAGCTACTTTCTGACGCTATGGCGCACTCAGAGAAATTCATTTGAAGAATTTTTTGGTACGAGATCGATAATCGATTGTTTCTGCAGTTTTCGATCTTTGCCAATTTTCCCAATCAATTATCGATTTTTTTCTCTATCTCTTTCTTCATAATTAACAACGCCAGCTTCTCTCTGACCATTTCATCTTACTCTCGTTTGTTCAGCAGCTTCGACAGTATCTCACACTCACATTGGTGTACAAGAACACCGAGGACCTATAAACCCTTTTGATTTTGGTCCTTTCGACCGGGATTTTACCCCTGACCCCGCTGCAATCGCTTTATCTTTCTGCTATCGTCATTGCTCATTCGTCTATTCGACTGGAGAGGGTGTCAAGACGAACCGCTGCTGCACCACAGCACCAGCAGGCACAAGCAAATATCTCCTGGATGTGCGCCCCGGGCCGGGCCACTCACCTTTGTGCTCTCCTTCGAACAGGGCGTTCATTTGAACGAGGCTTGACGCGCGGTCTCGCCAGCGTCCACCGTTCGCATGCTATCTCACCCCAAAGCGGATGAGCGTTGTCCAGTAGCCGTTCCGCGAGGGTTTTTTCGGCGGCGCTGCTTCATCACCACCGAAATTGCGCTGTCACGGAAAATCGTTCACGCAAGGTGGACAAAGTGTCAAATGATGTTAAACGATGTCAGATGCCAACAGGCGCGATCGTGACGGCGTTACTGATGCCGAGAGGTCAGCCCCGGTCGGGTTGATTACGATATGCATCGATTGAACGAAAGCGATGATGCGGAAAGACGAGGTTGCAAAATGCGTCACTTCTTGGAAAGGTCAACGAAAATCTGAGGTCATGGGTCCAGGATTTATGGTCAGAGAATCAGCCAGCAGAAAGGAAAGGGTGAGAGAAATTGACTCCAAGAGGGTTACTTTCTAAGGGGTGTTGCTGAAAGGCACTTTGAAAAAGTACTTCTGTAACCGTTGCTGTGCTGAAGAATTGCCTTTGGCAGGGTTCTGAGACCGGCTGGGTTACGTAGTCGTGAGCGGTCCACTCAGAACCGTCCATTTAGCCTTAGATGTAATGCCAGCCTAGAAGTGACTGGCCACCCAACCAGTTTATAGGCCAACACTGGGCTGTAATTAACCTGTGACTGTGCTGTACACTAAATGTGCCCTTCTCCACTCTTTTCGCATGTGTGAGTTCATACCAAAGATTTCAGCCATATGGCCATACTTAGCGGTGATTAAACGGCTTGCAGCCTGGTCCCTTTGAGTGGTCCGGGTGAGCAGGTACCTCGGCCGACGGGACCACGACGTCGAGGTCGAGCGGAGGTCGTAAGGTGACAATGGCGCCAGCCGGCCGGTCAGCGGC